CGGCGTTAGTAACTGCGTTGGTGGACGGAATGGTAAGGCGTCGATTAGAGACATGGACGAGGATCTGCAAGTTTATATATATGTATGTGTGGTTGGCGAGGTGGTGCCGACAGTGTGGTAGCGACTGTGCTTCCGACGTTGGCTAGGGAGAGGAGATACATGATAGAGAGAAGGGAGAAATTGGGAATGGATGAAGATATTAGGGTTTTAGTGTGGCTAGTTGGGTATGGGTTAGGTGATATGAATGTGTATATTTAATTTTGTAATTATATTTTTATTAGATTTAATTAACACCTAATTATTGAAAATGAAACTTAATCTCTTGTTTTTTGAAAATCAATCTTTAAATGTTGGTTTGCAGGTAATATTCCCTTTCATATTATACTAATCACTGTATTTGGATTAATTACACGAATGCTACAAGAATTTTACCAATTATTTTTTAACATGTTCGTATGAATTTTTTTTTCATTAAAACCCTCAAACTCAAAATTATTTTCCACCCATACAAAATAAACATCGTCCATTGAAACAATGACTGACATGATAAAGTTCAAACGGTGTGACTGTGGCAATTAAAAAATTTAAACCTTATGATTAATGAATAATGTTATCTAACACCGGTGATACTAAAACATCAATCTAAGTGTCACCATATAATGTGCTCGATGAAAAGTAGAAACATGTGACTACTCATTTAATTGATTCTCTCATTTAATGATACTTAATATTTCATAAACTGGTGTTGTAACACTAGTTGTGATAAATAGAATAACTCTATGATTAATACACGAAGGGTAATTTGCAATCATTGTCGTCAACCTTTACTATCTCTTGCATGCGTCCTCCAACATTCATTTCGAGGAGGGAAATGAGACAATAATAATGCTACTCAATCAGGGTTTGAAACCAGGGGCTTTGGCAAGTTATCATTGGCAGCACTTGTATGGATATTATTTTTTTCCCCCCTAACTGTCTAATGTTGTGTGTCATTTGTCCCCCTATTTTTAATCTTATCATTGAGCTTGTCACTATAGCAAAACCCATGAGACAAAGCTTACAAAAATGACATCTACAAGGTGTGGAATTTTAATTGGATACATAGCAAGCGTAAGTCAATGGAAAATTTCATGGCGATCCATAATCCACAATTAAAATTGGGAATGACATTTTGAAGTATTGATTGAATATAATTTATATATTTTTCAGTATTTTAGATCTATTGCATGTAGATTGACACATACAACTTTTAAAAAGGGTGACAATGAGATTTAAAGGCTGGATTTCTCGTTTTCTTCCCACCCCACT